ATGGTCCAAGCTACCGGTGGTTAGGGCTCCAGAGACAGAAACCTCCTCACGATACGTGCCGTTTCAAGGAGAACTGCCTTCTGTATCAGGCCCTTGACCCAACTACCTAACGCTAGCCTCCTAAGGTGGTTGTCGAGGCTATTAGGGATTAACCCATTGGCCGATACGACTATCGGCACAATGATAGCCGAATCTACATTCCACATGTCGACAACCTCGTGAGCCAAATCAAGATATTTGATTTGTTTATCTTTTTCAGCTTTCACGAGGTTCTCATCATGAGGAATAGTGATATCGATTATCATCGTGCGGCGCACTTGTCGGTCTATCACCACTATATCAGGTTTGTTGGCTATAATAGTCCTGTCAGTGATGATAGACCGGTCCCAGTACAACGTGATATGGTCATTTTCCAGAACTGGGTCGGGCACATACTTGTAGTACGGTACCTCAGACTCAACAAGTCGATAGTGTAAAGCAAGTTGCTGATGGATAATCTTGGCTACTTGATTATGCCTATGCAAATATTCACTGTTAGCCAAACGACCACAACCAGAAATAATATGTCTAATGGATTCACCAGGACTATGACATGCCCGACATATGTCAACCGTCCCATCCTTAATTATATATTTCCGGTAGTTATTCGTAAGGATAACTTCGTCCATAATTGCACAGACAAATCCTTCAGTTTCTCCAAAGAGATTACTGAATCGTAGCCAAGACACGGACGCTAGAAAATCTACACTGGGCCCATGAAGGGCCCGGAAGAAGCGTCCGTGGAGCTCCTTGCTATGCCATATCTCCTTGCGATCATTGACGCTCAGTACCACAGGTTTGCGCCAGTTCTCTTTTGCCAAGGATAGCGGAGTGAATCCATTGTCCACCGCTGCTACTTCTCGATGCATACCCTCGTTGACTTTCAGGAAATATTCCCTGAGGCTGCACACCTCACGGTTGTGAAGGGTCTTAGCATTTAATAAGCCTCGACCACCACACTTCCGCGGGATGTACAACCTCATGACCGACGAACGAGGGTGATGCATGCGATTTGCAGTCAGCAGGGTCCGGACTCGCCTATCCAGGGTGTCAAGTTCAGTCTGAGTCCACTTGAGTATACCAAAAGAATACATTAGGACTGGCATGACCCAACCGTTAAAGGCTCGCACTTTGTTTCCGCCTGATAAGGAACTTTTCAGTACCCTATTCAGGCGGCCAAAGAAGCGCTCCTGTAACGATTGCTTCATGTCCGGTCCATTAATGCCTAATCCTTCTGACATACCCAGGTACTTGTATGTATCGTTTGCGGAGAGTGATCTCAGCTTTGTGAAATCTGAGAGTTCTAGACCCTCAGATTCCACAATCCCTCCTCGCTTTACATGCATGACCGCACACTTGTCTACTCCAAACTCCATTCTGATGGAACTACTAAATTTTTCAGTTATATTCAGTAGTTCCATCAACTGTTTCTTGTTTGGAGCAAACAACTTGAGGTCATCCATGTAAAGTAAGTGGGATATAACTAGACCCCTTCTCCGCAAAGGATAGCCTAGCCCTGAATCCTCCAGTAGAGTACTTAGAGGATTCAAGGCCAAGCAGAACCATAGTGGGCTCAGGCTGTCACCCTGGAATATTCCTCGTACTATCCTTACAGGTTCTTCATTCCCTTGGATTTGTCTACATCCCGGATAGCAAAGCACGGTGCTCCACTGCCTCATACATGACTCCAAGAAGGCGCGTAAACTTGCATGTATTTTATACAACTCCAGCACCTTCAGGAGCCATGTATGTGGCACAGAATCATATGCTTTTTTATAGTCTATCCAGCATGTAGACAGATCTTTTCGGGACCGACGAACCTGTTGGCTAACAACCATATCAATGAGGAGTAGCTCCTTAGTTCCACGAGACCCCTCCCTACATCCATTTTGAGATACCGACATGATGGAATTTTTTTTAATATGTTTTGTTATTTTTGTCCTCAAAATGGATGTAAGAAGTTTATAGACCGTTGGTAGACATGTAATTGGTCTATAATTTTTGGGCTCAGTGGAACTACCTGATTTATGGAGCAAGTGGGTAACTCCTGTTGTTAGAAATTGTGGTAACGACCCAGTTTCCAAAGCTGCCTGGAAGTGTAATGCTAAGCGAACGTGTGAACTCTTGAACCATTTAATCCAGAAATTGTGCAGTCCGTCCGGCCCCGGTGATTTCCAATTCGGGACCGAACAGGCTGCACTGGCTACATCAGAGGAGGTGATTTCTACCTCCTCCATCTCTGGTATAGTCTCACACCTTCGCTTAACATCAAACATCCAGTCACCTTCTGTGTGGCTAACAGGTACCGACCAGATGTTGCGCCAAAATGTGCTAGTGGCATCATCATCCGGTCGCCGCCCGTCAACCACATCTTGGTTGGATCGTTCCCAATCTCTGTATACCCACCTCTGATCTCTTTGGAACATGCGATTCTGAGTATAGCGCTCCACTCTCTTTTTGTAACGTCTAATACGGTTTGCCCATGCATAAACTTTCTGCTTCAGGAAGTCGATGCGCTCTGTAACACGTGACAGGTATTCATGAGGACTGGTTTCAGTCCCCACAAATGCACGTCTTACAAAGCGCATCACTCTAGGGCGAGTATTGCCCTCCCTGAAGCAGGATAGTTTGCCAATGAGTACCCTGGCCTCACTGATACGACGCTCTATCCTATACTGCCAGGCAGGTACTGCTGGTTTTGGTCGGACTGCTGCGTCAAGATTTGGGAATCTGACGTTAGCCACTCGACAAGCAGCTACTGCCCCACAGTACAAGATTGAGTGTGTATCATAGAGGTTTTCGCTACTCTCAAAATATTTTTTAAGTAGCGAATCCAAGGCGCTCACCAGCGCCCTATTTTTTCTACACATGGGCAAACGTGGTAATTTTGGTCTTAAATTGCTAGGAGCAAGTCTATACTCACGAACCGCATCCTCCAAAGCACTCCTCAATCGTTCATTGCACTGAGTACTCACTTGTTCAACCCTGTCATCCTCCACACCAACGATAGGGGTGGTTGGCGTCACACATTGTGAGACTATAGGTGTTTGTGCCACCGATTGTGGTGGTGCAGGGACGACACGATTGCGCAGTGCTTCTAGGCGTAGCCGATCAAGCGCAGCCTCATCCAACCTGCGATTGCGTTGGATGACCCGCACCTGATCCGACAGTCGTTGGGCCGAGACGTTGATAGATGGCTCAAGAACCTGAAATATAGAAAGCATCCTTTCACGGTACGCAGTGAGGTTAGTCCCTCCCTCTGTAGCACCGTAGTACGAGCGCATGACGTTCTCATTTATGGTTTGAGACCATTTCATGCGCCGCACACAACCACCGGTAGCGGGGACCCGTCCCGGGGCCTGTTGGCCCCTGGCTCCCAAGCCCGTCGGTGGCCGGCCTCTCCCCGGCCGACGTACAGGTGTCGGCGACGTCGGCGGGGAGAAATAGTCGTCGCTCGAGCTCGACGCAACTGCTGTCACCGGTGATCCTGCGGGGCTGGGGTCCGGCGACGGCGAGGCGGAGCTGAGCGACGAGTCCGGAGGTGGTGGGGGTGCGCCTTGTTTGCTTCTGGCTCTCGTCAACATCATAACATTTTAATTTTCTGTTTCATATCTTCCTTTTGTAGTCTGTCACTGTCAAACATTTTTCTTCATTTATTGTTTGTTTATTGCTATTGTCGGTGTTGATTTTGCAGTAAGTATATATTATTATAAAAAGGTTTTGTTATTGTTATCTTGGGTATAAGGATACGTGTGAATTATTTATATAAATAAACCGAAATAAAACAGAGTAAAATTTTGCACGTTGACATCTCGTGGTGTTGCCAGTTATTATTATTATTATCAACGGTTTATTGATTAAACTTTTATTTCACGTTGAACTCTCCAAAACTTGTAATTTATCCGTGAAATAACAATTGGGTACTTTTGTGACATTATTTTCAAATGGAACTTAGGTAATCGATTGGTATAACTCAATTTTCGTATTTTTCAAAATAATTCGATTATAGCTATATCTTTCAATCTCTTTGAAGACATCCAGTAATAGGTTGTGCAACCAGATGCTGGATAATTTTTTTATTTATTTTTTAATGTACATAGGCGAACTTAATGCCATATGGCATCCTCTACCAGTCAACCTTAGGGTTTATGGATAATCTGTCGCGGGATCGACTTTCAGAGTAACGCTTTGAATGATCCATACAATATAGTTCCGTGTATATTGTGTATGAAATCTGAGCATCATTTTTCTAAATAAAGTCACACTTATAACGCTAGAGAAAATTACAACATGGTTCTACAAAAATATGATGAATTAGTGCTTAAAGTCACATAAGACACACACACTTTAAAAGCAGTGACGTCATTTGTGTAAATTGTCAGACAGACATAATACACATGATACCTAAAACCTTTTTTATTTTATTACATTAATTATAAGTAAACTTCGTTTACCACACCTGGGCCTTTAGCCAAACACCACTTTAGCGCTTGTCTACAGAGAGAGTAGAAATCAAAATGTATGGGGATGACACTGACAAGTGTCAAAATTTACGTCAATTCCATATAATTTGGTTTTCTATTCTACATGTAGACAAGCGCTAAGTGGCATTTGGCTACAGCTGCTGGCCACTTAATAAAAATATTCTCGAATTAAAAATACGCCCTTAACATACTTAACTTTGAAATTTATAGAAAAAACACATGGCAACAAAATGGACAAATAAAAAATAATAAGAATTGTAGTTTAAATTTAATAGGCACATACATGCGTTCTATACATTAATCGGGTTTGTTAATCCAAAAAAGTTTAACGGAAAACATTAAGCTAATCAGTATTAACAAACTAATCACTTGTAAACAATAAAATATTTTGTTTACGAGACCGAATCCAATGGCGAATTTGTTTTAGCGTTAAAGCCTATGTATATGTAACGCATGCTTAATAAAGGGCATCACTTTCCTTCACCCGCACCCGCACCAACCGAACGTGGAACTGTAGAACACCACTAAAACATCGAAACCACTAGGATGGATACAGTCGCTTTGGTAAGTTTCCATATTCAATTTTAGGTATACAATAGACTACGTATTGTTATTATTTTTTTAATTGATGTTTTAGTTTTGACCACAATCTCGACCTCATTTCTATAAAAACAAAAAAAATCTGTTAAAATTTTTCATTTGATAAAAAAACAAAATATCGGTAGAACATACATAAAGCCCTCTAAATATTTTAATCTCTCACTAAAAAATTCTATTATCCAATAATTGTTTAAAAACTAATACTTGTGTTTATACATGTAGACAATATTACTGGTTATCTTAAGTAGCATACTAGAATATTAATATTTTAAAAACAAGAAATTAATTAATTCTAATTCTAAAGTCATATTCATGACTGCAATATAACAATAATTGACAAGTGTTTTATTTTATTTTTTCAGTTATTTTGCTTCATTCTGGTCGGTATTAGCCAAGGCATGGCAAAACCACAGGTATATCAAAGGCAAAATTATGGTGGTGATGGGGCGCCCGCAGAAGTTGAGACTGAGAGTCGCTTCGGGTACGGTGGAGGAGCGGCGGCGGCGGCTGCTGCTGCAGCTGCTGGAGGCTACGTCGGAGGCCATCTTGGAGGTCACGTTGGTGGTCAATTCGCGGGACAAATAGGCATGACCGGTGGTGCCGCTGCAGCTGCGGCCGCTGCCGCCGGCGCAGGTGGCTATGGCGGGTACAGACATGGTCTCGGCTATGGCCGTTAAACCAATCCCGACTCTCTTGAAATTGCCAAAATAAAATATTTTTTGGTTCAAATTAAAAAGCGCACTCGAAATTGCCCAAGACTTATTATTTTGCTGATCATTATGGTCTACATAAAATTGGTAATCCTCATTCATTTAGAAATAAAAAAAAAATAAAGTTCAGGAGATTTTTTCTCGAATAGTTAAATTGTGCACACAACACATCATGTAAAGTTAAAAATGTAGACTCAATAGGGTCTTAGTTTCCTAGGTAGTTTCCTAAATTATATTTCCTCCCACTCCTAAACTTAACTCCATTTTATTTAGTGTAACTTTATACGAGAAAATATACAAATACGTGTCTAATATTTATTCATTATCTAACTGATTACTAATTTTATTTTTAATTTTCTTACCCTAGCAACTACCCTATTATCATAGCGACTTACGGATGTCGAACTACGTATACTTACGTACCCCATCGGATAGGAGTTAAAACGCCACCACCAAAGTGGCTTGTAAATTTAGTAAAGACTATACATATTTCAAAAATACTAACAGTCAAATTATCGGTTAACAATATATTATTGACTGGCCATGTTGGAAAACGAGCTGTAAAAAATCCAAAATAAAACTGATATGATTAGAAAAAAAAACAGATTTTTTTTTTGTTTTCTCGAATAAAAGTGATTTTGGGAAAAAATAGACTTATAAAAATAAATAAATTATATTTACTATATTTTCATCTGATGATGTAGCAATTAATTTCGTTCATAAAAGCTCCAAATAGCTGAACTGGAAAGATTAGTTAGTGCAACAGTATCGACCCAAGTAGACTCTCATATTAAATACCCACCCATTTTCGAATGATGACGTGATGTTTGGTCTGCGGCTAACGTTATGTACGTTATCCACTTCTAAGATATACATACGTGTAATGGTTTACCATCAGATTCTAAAGCTATTTATACACTGCAACTCTTTTTGTGAGGGTTCATCCGCTGGTGTGGTTCTGGTCGGGAATTTACTCTCGATCGCTATCTGCAGAGATAACAGCTAGCCTTATACTACATTTCTATGGAGAGAAGACATCTGATAAATATAATTTAATAATTAGTGTGTCTAGCAGGACACCAACGTACCCTTGCACGATATTTATGCTCACCGCCTCTTGGCATGTTTGTCTACCAGCCACGACGCATTGAACTTCATTTAAAATTCTTAAGATTAGATATTAATATGCAATAGTGGAGTCAAATGTTATATTTGACTAAATATGGAAATAGGTGTGAAATAATAATTGCAATGTTACAATTTTTTTCTGTGTGTGCAATAAAGTATCTATAAATAAATAAATAAATAAATAATAGTTGTTTGAGCAACGTGATATCTGTTCGATAAGCCAGGAAATGGTTTAAGTCATCATGATTTTTCATAACATTGTTAATCAATGAATAAACGAAATACTGACCGTACGAAGAATAATAAATTACTGATGGAGATAACTTGTTTTGATAAGAGTACACTTAAGTAAAATTTGGGTGTAAGGGGCACAACACCATCTCAGTGCCCCAGTCAACCTCACCTGCTCGTGGTACATCCTGCTGACTAACGGACGAGGCTCTGGCGACCGACACATGGCGGAATAACCATGCTAAGTAGGCGTAGCAAAATTTCAGACTAGTGACGGGGAGCAGCGTCACTAGTGCGAGGAGCTACGCCCTGCGATCACCAACCCGCCTGCCCAGCGTGGTGATTATGGGCATTACCTTATATGGCACGGCATTTCAAAAAACGGCCCCTAGTTCCCGGTCGCCCCGCTATTCCTGGCCAAGTCGGCGGCCATGGTAACGGCGGGACAGGGGGTGCTAAGAATCCCCGGGCTACGAAAGGCCGACAACACCAACTGACCCTGGCTACGTACAACGGACGCACGCTACGGCTCGAAGAACACCTGGCTCAGCTCGAGGTGGAACTGGGGAGCATGAGGTGGCATATTCTGGGGCTGTCTGAAGTCCGAAGACAGGGGGAGGACACAGTGACCTTGAAGTCTGGCCATCTCATGTATTTTAGGGAAGGGGACCAACCATCTCAAGGCGGCGTCGGGTTTTTGGTCCACAAATCCCTCTCAGACAGCGTCTTGGAGATCTCCAGCGTGTCGACTAGGGTAGCGTACCTTGTGATAAAACTTACTAAGAGGTATAACCTAAAAGTCATCCAAGTGTACGCCCCTACCTCGACATATACGGACGAAGAAGTAGAGGAAATGTACGAGGACATTTCTAGGGCCTTGCATACCACCCAAAAGGCCCACTTCAACGTTGTCATGGGGGACTTTAACGCAAAAGTGGGAGTACATATTAGCGGCGAATCGGTAATAGGACCACACGGGTTTGGTAGCAGGAACCATAGGGGGCAAATGCTCGTCAACTTCCTGGAGAAGGAGGGGCTATTCTTGATGAACTCCTTCTTTAAGAAGCAGCCTCAACGGAAGTGGACGTGGCGGAGCCCCGACACTATGACTAAAAATGAGATAGACTTCATTATGACGGACAAAAAGCGAATATTTAGAGATGTCTCTGTGATCAATAGGTTCAACACAGGAAGTGATCACCGACTGGTACGAGGCACTCTAAACATCGAACACAAATTCGAGCGTGCCCGTCTTATGAAGTCTACGCTCCGACCTAATTTGCTCCAAACTGTTGTCGGGTCCGAAAGCTTCCAGCTCAAACTGGAAAATCGATTCGCTGTCTTGGAAACCACAATAGACGCTGATATTGACCAAAAACTCGACCAAATGGTCGGGATACTCCGAGATGAGGGGACGAAAATGTGGCGGGCGCAAAATACCGGCAGGAGGGCGGGGCTTTCGGGTGAGTCTCTGCAGCTGATGAAGAGGCGCCGTGAAAACCCAGCAGTCGCTTCGTCGGATCTTAATAGAAAGATCTCGAAGCAGGTAAGACGTGACCTTCGGTGCTCCAACACACGCGCTATAAAAGAAGCGATCGAGCGAAATCGGGGGTCAAAAGTTTTCATCCAGCAACTAGGTCGAAGCCATCTGACGAAGCTGACTACATCTGAGGGAAAAGTCGTCGCTTCTGGGCCGGAGATTCTTGCGGAGGTTCAGCGCTTCTACGGTGATCTATATGCGTCACAAGCACCCCAACCTCAATCATACTCGGGGGATCCCAGGGCCACACTTGTCCGCCACTTCACTGAAGAGCTGCCAGAGGTCAGCCAAGACGAAATCGGGGTGGCTTTGGGGCAGCTTAAAAATGGAAAAGCCCCCGGTGAGGACGGAATTACGACGGAGCTCCTTAAGGCAGGGGGAAAACCGATTCTCGAGCGGCTCCAAAGTATATTTAATTCCGTCCTCTTCACGGGGAGAACTCCTAGGGTGTGGAGCAGAAGCATTGTCGTTATGTTCTTCAAAAAGGGAGATAAAACCCTTTTGAAGAACTATCGTCCTATTTCTCTTTTGAGCCACATCTATAAGCTGTTTTCCAGGGTCATCACGAATCGTCTCGCACGAAGGCTTGATGAGTTTCAGCCCCCCGAGCAGGCCGGGTTCCGAGGAGGATATGGCACCATGGACCACATTTACACGATGAGGCAGATTATACAGAAGACCGAGGAGTATAATCGGCCTCTATGCTTGGCGTTCGTGGACTATGAGAAGGCCTTTGACTCTATCGAGATCTGGTCTGTTCTGGAGTCCTTACAACGGTGCCAAGTCGACTGGCGATATATCCAAGTGCTGAGAGAACTGTACGAAGCTGCGACTATGGCCGTCCAAGTACAAAATCAGCAGTCTGAACCTATTCACCTGCATCGAGGAGTGAGACAAGGGGATGTTATATCCCCCAAATTGTTCACAAATGCTATGGAGGATATGTTCAAGACACTGCATTGGAAAGGACGGGGCATAAACATAAACGGCAAGTATCTCTCACACTTGAGATTTGCAGATGATATCGTCATCGTGGCTGAAACCGTTCAGGACTTGCAATATATGCTGTGCAGCCTGGCTGATGCTTCCGCGCGCATTGGGCTCCGGATGAATTTGGACAAAACAAAAATAATGTTCAATGAACATGTCATTCCGGAGCCAATTGTTCTCAACGGGTCGCCTCTCGAAGTCGTTCAGGAATACATCTACCTAGGACAAACCCTGCAGTTTGGTAGGAACAGCTTCGAAAAGGAGGCCCGTAGAAGGATACAGCTTGGCTGGGCAGCATATAGAAAACTTAATCAAGTCTTCTCGTCTCAGATACCGCAAAGCCTGAAGACAAAAGTCTTCAACGAGTGCGTCCTTCCAGTAATGACATACGGAGCCGAGACGTGGACACTGACAGTGCGACTGGTCCACCAATTTAAGGTCGCGCAGCGAGCTATGGAGAGGGCTATGCTCGGAGTCTCTTTGAAGGATCGAATCCGAAACGAAGTGATCCGACAGAGAACCAAAGTTATCGACATAGCCCAAAGGATCAGTAAGCTGAAGTGGCAGTGGGCCGGTCACATTTGTCGAAGAACCGATAACCGTTGGGGTAAACGTGTTCTAGAGTGGAGACCGCGTCTGGGCAAACGCAGTGTAGGGCGCCCTCCAGCTAGGTGGAGTGACGACATCTGCAAGGTGGCTGGCAGTGGTTGGATGAGAAGAGCTGAAGACCGAGCTCAGTGGCGTGCCATAGGAGAGGCCTATGTCCAGCAGTGGACGAATACAGGCTGATGATGATAAGTAAAATGTTCAAGCCAGTCATCCTGTATTAGTACTTATATAGTGCAAGAATACGTCCTTGTACGCACGCAATAAAAGCACTGAGACATGTACAATTATAAAAGCTAGTTAATGAAAACATATTAATTTACTGCTTTAGGGATTAACAGATGTAGCACGTGTTGTTTATAACGGTGATGAATTGATGAAGAATTTGAAATTAAACACGTAACGCTAGTAACTTTACTTGTCCTTTCTACTTAATTCAAATGCTCCATTCTACTGTACCGTGAAAAATTTCTATTACTATTTTCATTGCAGCAAGGGCCAACTTTCTTTTGTTCTGTAGATGACGGCCCCCGTGGTAAATAACTGTGCTTAGTCTACAATTCCGGCCGGGAAATCGGTTCCAGAGGGCTCTCTCTGTGGTAGTCTGATTTCTCTTTAGGGGGCGCACAGGACTAACGTAAGGAATAACGCGCGGTCCCCAACGCCTGGACCGCTTTTTGCCTCTCTTTTTCCTAGCTAAGAGAATCGGGACTGCTTCTTCATCGCACTAATCATATTCATTTTATAATCAATCATTTAATTTTTATAATCAAGTGAAAGTATCCATGACATTTAACTAAAAATCGCGGGTTACTCACGTGAATATAATGAGAAAAGGCCTACTGATGCGACGGGCCGCTCGGGCGCTGCTGACGTCACAGAGGATCATGGCGATCCGAATGATCCGCAGATACCGCACGGTCTCCAGGAAGGCTGCGAACCTCTTTGCCGGATTACTGCCGTGGGATCTGGAGGCGAAGGTGCTCGCGCGTGTGTAATGTCTGCGTAGAGTCACGGCGCCGGGGCAAAACTCTGCTGCCGCTCCAGATTAGGGCGTGGTTGAAAGAGCTCCGGCGCAATTTCATTGCGGAATGGCAGCAACGACTGTCGCAACCGACGACTGGGCTATTGCAGCGGTAAGTCCCCTCTTTGAGGAGTGGCTTGAGAGACGCTACGGCGTCCTCACCTACCGCCTGACACAGGTCCTCACCAAACATGGGAGGTACCTGTGTCTGATATGGCGATAGGAAACGCCTGGGTGTCATCACTGCGAGGACCGCTTTGAGGACACAGTGTAACACACAGTAGGGGAATGCCCTGCGTGGGCTGAGCACCGCCGTGCCCTCAGTGGCGTGATTGGCGACGGCGACCTTTCGCGTCCGACCCTTGTGCGGGTCATGATGCGGAGCGAGGGGGACTGTCGGGGGACTGGAGGGGATGCCATCTTCACCTTTTGCGAAGCAGTCATGCTAGCTAAGGAGGAGGCGGGGCGCATGAGGCAGCGAAGCGCTGCCTCCTCACAATCCAGCCATCGTGAAGGTCACTCCGGGCGTCGGGGATAGAACTTAACGGGTTACCGGGGCTCCGGCTCTATGTGCAGGAGTAGAAACGGGTTGGTTTTTAGTCAGTAAGAGTCTGACAATCCCTCCCGCCCCACCAAGGCGGGAAAAGTCATTCGATGATTTACCCCTCTTAAAAAAGGCCTAAGTCTTCTGAGAATGTTATTTAGGCTTTGGGGAATATCGGCACAATGATAACTGAGTCCACAATATCCACTTTGATACACACAAACATAACATTTATAACAATGTTTTTAGTCTTCTATTAGTAAATGTAAGGAAAACTCAAAATCGATCTATTTCACACGATCCCAATTTACATAACATCGATCTATGATAGATTGTCCGTAACAAAATTATTATATGATATATATATATATATACAATAACACATGTTACTATTTAATATCTTATACTTATTATAAATGTGGAAGTTTGTGAGTTTGTGTGTAGTTTATATTATGTATATTTGTTAGTTCATCATGTCAAAAAGGCTGAAGCGATCAGGATGAAATTTGGGACACGGGTAGATTATGGTCCGTAATAACACATAATTAAGCTTTAATACTTTATCCTACGGGACGCGGGCGAAGCTGCTGGGAGAAGCTAGATATTGTAAATACCTAAATCGATTTTACATCTAGGAAAAAAATGGTGTTTATCGAATAATTAATTAGATTTATTCGATTATGATCGAATAAATCCGCGTGACAAGTTAGTTAAAGGCGAACATTTATTGCGTTTATGTTAGAAAATCTTTTTTCACGGCAACTATTCTTATCGTGATTGTTAACGAGGAAACCATTTGTTTACTAATGCATTACTAATGGCTATATACTTCTACAATTTAAAGTTTAATATTGCTCTTAATCAATTCCTCTGGACTTGGCTGCCCACGCCAGACGCAGAGGCTGAGCAAACAATCAATTATGCAAGTATATATTCAGGTGAGGCAACTATAAATTGTAAAAATACATATTGTTTAACTCATAATTCACTAACGAGGCTCCAAATTTGAGACATTTCTTGAGTATAATTTTGTTTAATATAATTTTGGGATGGCCCTTACTACAAAATATTTCACTTGAAAATAAAGGTAACATTTGCTTAATACTGGAAGCGAAAGAAAAAGCGAATGTATAAATCGTAGCAATTGGCGTTCCATAGTCTCTGCCTACCCCCATGGGAGAAAGGCGTGAGATTATGTATGTATTTATTTTAAATGTATGACATTTAATTTCAGGTAATCTTTGCTATTATAGTCAGTACGTGTCAAGCCCAAATATTACGTAAACTACGTATAAGCAAGAAAGGAGATTATCGTGATTATGAAGCACTAAAAGAGTTAATGATGCGAAGTCATATAGAAAGTTCAGCTAATCCGCACTTTGAAACACCATTAGTTCCTTATAAACCAACAATTCCTTATAACCTCAGAACATACCACTTACCGAAGAATTTCTATACAAAGCCAATGGAACAGTCTCATCTTCTTCACCAAAAAGTTGAAGCTGAAAAAGATAAATATAGACTTAGTCAAGTGGACAAAGTTACACTAAAACAACTAGCAGAGGACGACCGACAACTCATAGAAAGTCACCTGACGCCATCAGAGAGACAATATCTACTATCCCGACTGGAAACCGGTGAATTTGATTCAATTGTATTCCAAGACAGGTTTGGCTTGCCCTCCTTTGACCTAATTATTTCTGCTATTGAAAAGATTGGTGCTGGAGCAGGAAGATATATAGGTGGGAAACTGGCCGGTGAGCTCGGTGCTAAACTAGGAGCAAGTGCAGGAGCATATCTGGCTATTGCTGCGGCAAATAGTCTCACAAAAAAGAAAGATGATCCCCCAAAAAAGGCTGATGAGGCTCCAAGTGAAAAAGGATTTCTTGGTAAATCTTTTGGTTTAGGTGGCATTTATGGTGCTATGTTGTTGAAAAATTGATTTTAATAATAATAATGCCTTAAGACAATTTAATACAAGAAATGTTATATAAAAGGTATTTTATATAGGCTTATGTTAATTTCTTAACATTTTTTGTTATTGATTTAATTACCATTTCAAAATCATCGTTCAGTCACGTTTGGCTTACCACTCAGGAAAATTTTATAGTTGTCGGCAACACTTTTATAATTGATAGCATTGTTCATACGATTTATTTTAAATATGATTTGATCTCATTATTCGTGTGTAAGTAGGTAAGTACATTTTAGTAACGTTGCTATAAAATTGGTAGAAGTAAAAAATAAGTTAAATGATATTTTACTTTTTTCCATCATTACTAAAAAAATAAGTTATTAAATCGTTAATATTACTTGGGTTTCATTGTATAAAAAGGAAAAACTACCTTGACATGCAAAAATCATATTTATTATCAACCTGTTTGCATTCACTGCAAGACGAATGCCTCTCCACTGAGTTCGATCACACCCTTTGTCTCAGTCTGACACTCTAACCACGGCTAGCCAATTGGCGAATATCTACACCCCACATAGCTGGAGGGTGCCATATAAGAAGTTTGCATTGATGTAGAGGTGGTTTATATTCCAGGGCATATCTACCCCAAAATTCACGGATTTTCCGACAAAACGGGACCAAAGTAATATACATCGTTCAAAGATTTTGAAAGCCAAAGTGGCAGTTGACCAGTCACACTAATATTAGAAGATCATTTAAAGAATAAAATTTTTCATTGAAATGGTGACGAGATAAATGGAGGGGCTTTATGCGTTATCTACTAACCTTCCTGAAGTTTTGTATACAAATATACCTAGTTGGAGATGCTTGTAAGCACCTAATAAATAAATGTGAAAAATTTTTGGTTTTATAGAGCAGCAAACACTTTCAATTTCTAAAGCCAATGACAGCAAAATATTTTCTTTTTTTTTATGGCATAAGCCGGTAAACGAGCAGACGGATCACTGGATGGTAAGCAATCGGCGTCGCCCATGGACACCTGGAACACCAGAGGCGTTACAAGTGCATTACCGGCCTTTTGGGGATTAGGAGTTTGAGGATCGTTGGGGATTCAGGGAATGGGGAGATTGGGGAAGGGGAGGGTAATTGGGCCTCCGATAACCTCACTCACACAACGAAACACAACGCAAGCGTTGCTTCACGTTGGTTTTCTGTGAGGCCGTGGTATCACTCCGGTCGAACGGGCCCATTCGTACCGAAGCATGGCTCTCCCACACTTTTCTTTTGTTTTCTTATGCTTGGCATTAAGAAAGAAAACCAGAAATAAGAATAAGTATGTTACGTTGATGGAAAGTAGTCACTGAACCCAATGAATGTCATACAACGGTGGTTAAGTGTTGCCAACCTTATGTGAGCTACTAACGATAAAAGAAAACGATAAGAATTAATGATAATCTACATACAATTTCCAAGTTTCATGACAATACAATAAGAAATGTATGTAATTAAGATTCTTAGATTTTCTTACATAGTTTTTTAATATAATAAGCCGGTAAATGAGCAGACGGATCACCTAATGGTAAGCAATCAGCGTAGCCCATGGGCACCTGGAACACCAGAGGCGTTACAAGAGCGTTACCGGCCTTTTGGGATTTTTTATCACACGATGAAACACAACGCCAGCGTTGTTTCACGTCCGTTTTCTGTGAGGCCGTGGTATCACTCCGGTCGAGCCGACCCATTCGTGCCAAAGCATGACTCTCCCACTGTTTTTTACAGGTCGATGTAATAAAACGTTTGATGTTAAGTATTCACCTACAACATTAAAAATAAAATAAAAATATAATAGATTAAACTGTCAAACACCAAGCGGTCACCGGTGACCGCAACCTATTGTTCTATAATTGTGTCCATAATGACGATACTTGACGAGATAAAGAACATTTTTTTTTTTTAAACGTTGCCCCACACTAGGATTTTCTCCTGTGTCGTGGGTGCGTTTACAAACATACAAGTTCACATACACATCACACCCAGACCCGAAACAACACAAAGTGTTGTTCCGTGCGGGAATCGAACCCGCGACACGTTGCTCGGCAGCCGGTTACCCAGCCACCGCACCAACCGTGCAGTCAAACACCAAACATTAAACTGTCAAACACCAAGCGGTCACCGGTGACCGCAACCTATTATTCTAGAGGTATAATTGTGTCTATAATGACGGTACTCGACAAGTTAAGACTGGTTGTACCAACTTACTTTAACAATAACAAACGTCAAAATTTCTGTTAAAGTATCGGTTAGGTCAAAAAGACGTTGCACCAACTGACAAATTGTTAAATGACGTCATAACTATAACTGTAACCGCTCACTTTCCTTTGGTTACTGTTAAAGTAAGTGTCAAAAATGTATCTGTCAAATTGTCAAACTTCTGAAACTCTGAGCAGCATGCCCCTGTTACAAGAGATACTCGGAAAAACCAATTCTGAAGATCAAAGAAATAATCTTGCATGATAATATAACATATCAAATTCATATAGTAGAGGAGGTCACGCTAGTTTCGAAAACTCATTTTGCTACCACTGAATACTTTACAAGTAATTGTTTTATCCTTTTTTAAACTGTCAAACACCAAGCGGTCACCGGTGACCGCAACCTATTGTTCTATAATTGTGTCTACAAAACCGGTACTCGACGAGTTAAGGATAATTATGAGCAGTGAGCGTCAGCCGCTCAACTACCGCTCAGTAAAGAGTTACAGCACGTGAAAGTCAATTGACTTTATGTGCTCATACACTGACTGACAACACAACACTACAAATCCGACAGTCAGTCACCGCGCGCCCATTGCAGTCAGTGTATAAGCATATAAAGTCAAATTACTGTTGGCGCCTTTCACGTGCTGTAACTCTTGACTGCAACGGTCAATTTATTTGTTTTTCTTTATTATGGATATGGAACGAAAACCTGATAATGTTACGAAAATAGCAGCATAACCACCTGTTTTTTCCCTGGGAACAGAAATGTCCATAAAATAGTATGAGTTGAAATAGTAATTCAATGAGGTAGAAAACCAAATAAAATCAAGTCGTTCATTCTCCTAGTGGATAGATTAGTTAAACCGGTAGTGTTCGGATCTGATATTGGAGAGGTTATAGCCTCTCTAACTACTGTTTTGTTTGGAACATCGAATATACAATAACATTTCTTCTGAACCAGAACAAAACCACGATAACTTTTTTTAGGGGGAAAATCATCTAATGACTTCTCCCGTCTTGGGTTAGGTGAAAGGGAGTGTCAGACTCTTACTGACTAAAAACCACCCCGTTCCTACTCCTGCTCTTCGAGCCGGAGCCTCAGCAACCCGTTAGGCCTTTCGCGGCTCGTATCGGGCATCGGCCCTACTAGGGGCAAGCTACCATTGCTCACCGTCACTCAGCCCATGGAGGGCACACCGTCACCGTATGCTCCACCGTGTCTTCCGGGTGATCCTCGCTGTAATGACACGCGGGCATTTCCTCCCGCCCAATCCAAGACTCTACCGAAACTAATCCACGATAACTTGGCTTGTATCTGATTGGTGCTTGGCGACTGGGCTTCTCCCAGTTATACAGTCTCTTTTTGTGCCTTTTGGCTTAATTCATTCTGTCTCATGCAGTAATTCTCTGAGGGAAGTGGAAGCTATCGTTTTTTATAATATCGTCTGATTTATTTCATTGCGGGAACCAAAACAGTCATTCATGTCCCCGAGACGCGCTAGACTTCAGTGTTCCAATATTTTCATGGTTGTATTTACTGTAGATCCTGGTTTACAAGAGTTGCCGTGGTTTTGGCAGGTTGTGGCGGGTTGGCCCCAATTTTAAACCACGATTACACCGAAACAATGAACTCTAGTGCATCGCAGGGACATGAACAACCATCTTAGATTGCAATGAAATTAACTATGTACAAGAAAACGAAAGAGTTCGTTAGAGGATACGAACAACAACATATGTATGTCAGCTTCTACTGCTGTTTTTTCTTACATAACATCATAAAACCACGCCTTTTATTCCCGAAGGAGTAGGCAGAGGTGCACATTACGGCACTAAACAACACCACCACTGCACAATGTAACACCCTATAAGTCTACATGGGTAATAGGGGGTGAACCTATTGACATATACCGGACACAATTCCAGACTCCGTGCTACTACTGAGATTTTTTCCCTGTAAGTTCCCTGTAACCTAGTAGTTCTTTGCCCGACCCGTTAATTGAACCCGAGACCCCTTGCCCGGCAATTGCACTTGCGACCTCTTGGCCAACGAGGCCAACGAGGCTGTCTATTTTTCACATCTATTAATAATATCTTCTGATTTATTGTGTTGCAGGATCCAAGACAGTTATTCATGTCTCTGAAACGCACCGGACTTGAGTGTTCAGGTGTTTTGATTGTTATTGATCATGGCTTACCTCCCGTAAGCCACTGTTGCAACGGTTTTGGAAGAGTGTGGCGGGCTTGTCCCAAATAAAAATAAGTCTGTTGCCACACTAAAATCTCCCTCTTATGGGAGAGTTATTCTTTAATCCCTTACTGACAGTCATACCCGCAAAGGCAACGTCATTTTACATTTTGTTTGTTGTCTATAACCTGGTAGGTAAGGCTGGTAGTAAAAATTTTAAACTAAAGGACGATGTTCAAAATGACCCTGTTCGATAAAGAGTATCAGAATATATGGTAACTAATCCCCTAATTTATTATATAAGTTGCAAATACTTCTGTATCACGGACTAGCTGTATACCAAAATGTACTTTTAATAGAATTTAATGCCATTAATAACATTAGATCGCCATCTTCGTCTAATTTTAAAGGCCTCTGCCTAATGTAATAAATAAATAAGCAAGTCCTATGTCATATCATGTCGAAAGTGAAATAGGAATGTCCAATCAATTATAATCAATCGATTGTGGTTTTTACCTTTAGGAATGCAGTCATACTCCAATTTAAATTGGTAGTAAATAAAGTAATACAGTAAATACAGTAATAAAAACCTCTTTAGATACTTCTATACAATCATTCAAACATTCAACATACGTTCAAATATTAGTTGTAATGGTTTTTTTTTTTAAGGGGGGAAAATCATCGAATGACTGCTCCCGCCTGGGTGAGGCGGAAGGGAGTGTCAGACTCTTACTGACTAAAAACACCCCGTTCCTTCTCCTGCACGTCGAGCCGGAGCCTCGGTTACCCGTTAGGTTCTCCGCGACTCCGAATCGGCATCGGCCCTATTGGGGGGATCTGTGGTGGTCTGATGGCTCTTTGAGGCGCGCGCGGAACGCGACGCGCCATACGCTCGGGTCTGTTTCTGGTCGGACGGGGAGCCACCCATGCTCGCCGTCCGCAGGCCCGCGCTTACGGTGGCCGGAGATCGTCTCGCGATCCCCGACGCCCGGTGTGTCCTTCGCGATGGCTGGGTTGCGAGGAGGCAGCGCTTCGCTGCCTCACGCGTCCCGCCTCCTCCTTAGCTAGCATGACTGCTTCGCAAAAGGAGGAGACGGCATCCCAATCCCCCTCGCTCCGCATCATGGCCTGCACTAGGCCCGAACGCGAGAGGAGTTGTAATGGTTAGATTAGGTATAACTTTAAAATTTGATACTTTTATTGAAATATGTCTTTTCTGCAGCTAGTCCACTATAAAAACAAGATTTTCTAGGAGTCTACAAACGATAGAGAATACAATAAATATATCCGATACTCTTGGCTCCACGGCTAATAATGTATGTCCATACATGTGCAGAGCAATGTCCTTTAATTGTTTTAAGTTTTATTTTTAGTAATAGTTGCCCAAAATATTTTTCTTGATCATGAAATATTTGATGATAATGATCTTATGGTCAAATATAGATAAGCTATCTGTATTGTATATATATACAGAGCGGATATGAATGGGGCCGTCGGTAGAGGGCGCCCTAGACGGACATATAGTGACCAGATTGGCGATATATTAAAGAAGGGCCAAATTAAAAGTACCCTTAACCGACGAGCATGCATGAAAAGATTGATGACTGTTAATGAAGCGAAAGAGGTATGTAAGAATCGTAGTAATTGGCGTTCCTTAGTCTCTGCCTACCCCCATGGGAGACAGGCGTGAAGTTATGTATGTATGTATGTATAGATAAGCTATTCTTTAAGTTTCAATTAGAAAGATTGAAGCGATCTCGATCGCGGTCCACCATGTCATTGGTTGTGAAAAAAATATCGACCAATTAATGGCAAGAATGTGAGCGACCTCACTTTGGAAGTTCATATTGACAATTACAAAATAGCTTAGCTGTTCTAAATAACATTTATTTAGTAAATATAGGCCAATAGATGAGCTTCAAGTGTAGCAGACACTTCACAGAACAAGTTCTTATGTTTATTTATTTATTTATAATTCATGGAGGACTTACAGCATATAAAAATGGATAAAAATAACAATAGGCGTAGGTAACAATGAGCCAATAACAAGTCCTCACGTTTAACATTTGAAATAAATTAATTAATATGGTGTGAGTACTATACAATATTAAAAATACATACATTCTGCGTAAATGAAAAAAAAAATATTGAGACAGACCGTACAGACAATATGATTATGAACAGATCAAGAGAAACGATAAAAAAACTAAAGATCTAGTGCTGCTTAAAAAATTTAAGGCTTAAGCACCTCTTTGCCGAGTTCACACTAGTTGTAAACGGATCGAAGTCATTTTCCATACAAACATTTAAAGTGTCTGCTTGCACGCATAATGTAACTGTTCTGCCTGTAGTTAGATGAGGAATGGGATACGTGTAAAGGTGGATTAAATCTAAATATTTTATTAGGTACATTAAATTTGATTTTTGATAATAGTTCTGGACTATCCACATTGCCGATAAGAACCTTAAACAAGAATAGACAATCTGCAATATTGCGTCTATCTACCAGTTTCTACTAGTTTCGTAGGCTGCGCGACATCGCCGCGACCGAGCATGCTGCGAATGAGGAAGAACCGTGTTGTTCGAAACTAGTAGAGCTTGTCTCAGTACATTCACGCGAGTAACCCGCGATTTTTAGTTAAATTAGTATATCACACGATAGTTATTATAAAAACTAGTTTATAACTTTTTAATTTGTTTATTTTATGTAAATTGAAAATCTCATATTTACATGAAAATATTTATTAGTTTCTTATGAAATATTGTTTGCTTGAATACAATTTCTTATAACAATACGTTATTTCGTGTTACTTTTTTTATCAAAGTTATATCATAATACTTTTTATATCTACATTGTTAAAAGTAAAAATGTTAGTTTGTTAGTCATAAACCATTCTTTCAAATACAAAAATGGAAATAAAATATTATTAACTATTATTAATAAGTTATTTTTTTTGCGTCATACAACTTTTTGTACAAATGGATCGATTGGCTTGAAGTAATGTGAATGACGCTTATGTAGTGTACTAGAAGCACAATTCCATTACGCCTTTTTATTCTCGAAGGGGTGGCAGACGTGCACATTACGTCACTAAATGCCACTGTACAATGTAACACCCACTTTCACTATTTATGTTAAGAGTCCCATGCAATAGAGGGTGAGCCTATTGCTATATTATACCGGACACAATTCCAGACGGTACTACTACTGAGAATTAAAAAAAACCCAGTAATAGTTGGCTTGACCCGGGAATCGAACCCGAGCCCCTTGCCCGGCAGTCGCACTTGCGACCACTCGGCTAACGAGGCAGTCACAATTCCTTCTTCCAAAAAATGCTGGCAACACACAGTTATGTCCTTTGGTTTTGTGGGTACTTCTGGCTGGTGTTGGTTGTTTACCATCTGGCGATGTGTTAGTTTGTTAGCTCCCATATTATAAAAATTTACAATGTGAGCCGGCATCGAATACTAATACTGGTAATGAGTAGGCTAATGGCGTTTTATGTTTGATCTGTTCGCCTTTATTACATGAAGCTCTTTAAAATGTTGAGGAAAAGTGAGTAACACTTAGTACGTATTAGATATATACATAAGCGAAGCCACGAATTTAAATATGTACATAAAAAACTATTTTAATATTAATTTAATCCGTTCTTGGTATATGTAAACAATATAAAAAAAATGGTTGGAACAATCATGACGAATTGGAATTTATTTATAATATGAAGAACGGTTCCATAATACCATCTTTTTAAATTTATTCAGTTTTGGTTACACTCATTTAGTTGGAAGAAATTAAAGCTCGACAAAAACTCGGGTACAAAATTACAAAAATGAAAACATTTATACTGGTAAGTTATAATATTTTATAGACGCTAAAACGGAGAAAAGACCGACCGACCGACCTCTCATTTTTTCTTTTTGGTAATAATTAGCATAGTATCTACCTTTTTTTTCGAATTTTTTTTTTATTTAATATATATTTACAACCGAGTAACACAAAATAATTAATAAATGCCTATTATTAAATATATAACTAATAATATAACTACATAAATATTTTACAACTTAAATTTAACTACAACTAAACTATTAAATAAAAGGAAAGTAAAAAAAAAACAACAAAAATTTAACCCTTAATTTAGGCGTCAAAGTATTCGTCCGCATCACTATCACAGGGAAACGTTCCCAGAAGACTGGCAGCATTGCCACGTGGAATGGCAATGCTTATTTTCCGTCCGAAGAAATAGCCAGCCCTCTGGTCACGTATCTTCCGAAACATGCTTTTTTTAAATTATTTTTTTCGTTGTAGTTTTAAGACGTACAATGATAACCAGGGCATGGCAACATGGCAACCATGCCTGAATAAAGTTCAGTCATTTTCCAAAGAAGAACCATCGACTTCTTGCTGTGATTGAGAATTTTATATTTTGAATATCTTAATTCTTAGTTCGACTACAAAACTTATTTTAAGATCCTATAATTATGCTTACCCAGTACAAAATCGAAGTGATAGGTTTTTTTCTAATTAAAATAAAATATTTTTATTTTCAGATTCTTCTTCTGGCAATCGCCAGTATATGTCGAGCTGCTCCATTTATAAATCCGTATTTTCCTGATCCTTACGGTAGATACGGTTGGTACGGCGGCTATGAGTATGGTGGACCATATGGTTCTCCATATTACCCTTATTATGGTGGTTGGCCTTACTCTCCACTCATTGGGGCCAGAATAGGAGGAGGTGTTGGTGGTGGAGTAGGTGGCGGAGTTCAAGGTGGCGTAGGAGGTAGTATTGGCGGTGGTATTGGCGGCGGTATTGGCGGTGGTATTGGCGGTGGTATTGGCGGCGGTGTTGCCGGTGGTATTGGCGGTGGAGCCGGTGGTAGTATTGGTGGTGGTGCTGGCGGTTACCTTGGTGGAGGAGTACAGGGTGGAGCTAGTGGATACCTTGGCGGTGGAGTACAGGGTGGCACCGGTGGATACCTTGGCGGTGGAGTGCAAGGTGGGGCCGGTGGATACCTTGGCGGTGGAGTACAGGGTGGCGCTAGTGGATACCTTGGTGGTGGAGCTCAGGGTGGGGCTGGTGGATACGTAGGTGGTGGAGCACAAGGTGGGGCTGGTGGATACCTTGGCGGTGGAGTACAGGGTGGGGCTGGTGGATATCTTGGCGGTGGTGTACAGGGTGGGGCTGGTGGATACCTTGGCGGTGGTGTGAGTGGAGGTGCTGGTGGAGGAATTGGTGGAGGTATTGGGGGAGGAATAGGCGGAGGAATTGGTGGAGGAATTGGTGGAGGAATTGGTGGAGGAATTGGTGGAGGAATCGGTGGAGGAATCGGTGGAGGAATCGGTGGAGGAATTGGTGGAGGAATTGGTGGAGGTGGTGTTCTCTACCGTAGAACTGATACCGACCATGTCAGTCATTCTTATCCCTACAAAAATAATCACTCAAGACATGGATGAAGTGGAGGAGGGGCAGGCCACTCAAACTGACATGTGGCCCATGAATCTGTCTAACTATTGTATTATATAGTTTACCAAACACTTTTGTTCATAAAATATATTTGATTTTAATTATGAAAATTACGACTGAACTAGAATATAATTGATTGTTCGTCTTAAACAATAATTTCAGGAAATAAATTAAAAGTTATAGAGTAATGTTTTTCTGTTATCATTCGACAAAAATAAATGTACGATACATATTATTATACATTTAATCCTTATCACTGGTATTAACATGCTACAAAGAAAGAAGTTGGTTGATCAGAATAATGAAGGCTAAAGTTAGAAACGTAGGCTTCAAATAAATATATGGAATTATGGATCTAATATTTGTACTACAATAATATAAAAATACTCACTGACAGTACAGCAGCAATACTATTTACTGTTAAGTTAAAATCGATATAACATCGCTACTTCATGTACCACAATAATAAAATTAAATACTATATTTTGCACGGTTTTACCAATGCAAATTTAAGGCATAAGGCTTAAAAAATTTTAGTTTCCAGTATATTATAATATTTGTGCCAAAAATAAATTTCGATAATCATAATGAATGAAAGGTGATTTTTTCGAAATGTCCCGCAATTTTGAGAAATGACATCAAGGTAAAAAATATCTTTGAGTAATGTATTGACTAAGATACGTTAAAAAACAAACCTTTATATCATTACGTTACAGAATAATAGTTATGAACCTGAAGTTTTGTTGTGGTAGAGTTTAGCCCTTTATGCAACTTGAATTTATTGGATCGACCAGGGTAGTGCCACCTTTTTAAGTATGGGAGAGTCATGCTTCGGCACGAATGGGCCGGCGCGACTGGAATGATACCACGGCCTCATAGAAAACCGACGTGAAACAACGTCGTCGTGTAAGTGGGGTTACCGGAGGCCCAATTACATTTCTCCAATCCCTGAAACAATCCTCAAATTCCTAACCTCCAATAGGCCGGTAACGCACTTATAACGCCCCTGGTGTTCCAGGTGTCCATGGGCGACGCCGATTGTTTATCATCAGGTGATCCGTCTACTCGTTTACCGTCTTATCCAATGAAAAAAACCTTTTCACCGAATACCATCGTGAGGTGGTGACGTAACGTGGATGCGGTTCAGTGTGAATTAAGAGTTCTGAGTGTCCAAACTTTTGTTTACTACAGACAAAGCGAGGATACAGATGTATGGGCAACTGCAGACGAGCTAGTGCCGGGGCTCCGCCTCGAAGCAGGAGTAAGAACGGGAGCGTTTAGTCTAACAGTCTGACATAACTCTCGCCGCACCGATGGCGGGATAAGTCATTAGATGAGTTTCCTTTCAAAATATGATATATATACATATGTATAAGTAACTAAGAATATTGCATGGTATTTTGAACCTCACATATAAAATTGAAAGTGGTGAGAAGAAGAGAGATCTTTGTTGTAACATCTCACCGTCAATTACATTAAAATAATTAATTGCTTTCAAAATAACCAGTATTTACCAAGTACTTATTTGGAAATGAAAATAAATAAAGATCAAATTAAATGTTTATTAATTGTTTGGGTACGTAGCGTGTGTATAAATGTAAACCCATAGACTTTCGTCATTTGCCAAAGACCAATAATTGCAAGGATAATCAAATCACATCAAAAAAGGTAATATTTTCTGAAAGCGATGATGTTTAACATAGCTTATCACCAGATTACTTTAAACCTTACATTGGCTAAAAAATTACGACATGTTCAAAATATTGATTGGCTACTTAACAACTACTAACCGAAAGTCTGATTTGTTTCTTAAGGCGTATCAAATGGTGATTTAGTCATAACGCCAGGTACTGCTATAAAGTGATAAATAATCACGCTAATTGTAGACATCTCGATGTGCTCGGTTCGAGGAAGTAAATATGAAAACCAGCTTCTTAGTAAGTAAAGTATTAAACTATGTATTTTTCATATTTAAATAATACTTTGTGTTAAGCTATCGATGTAATGTTTTGACAAAGTCTTGTCTATAATCTCCGTGTTAAAGTCAAAGCATTTATTTCAATCAATCCTTAGACGGAGGGCACTGATAAAACGTCAAAAATGTAATTAAATTCTCCGTCTGTATGTCTGTCAGTAAAGCTAGGCACTAAATGTAGAATAAACCTTATCTTTTAAGTCTAAGTTTCAGTACCAGTATCAGCTTGTCCTTTTCATAGAACTCACTAAATAATTTGTGATTTTTTTAGAAAAAAATGTTTCAGTCTAGGACATAATAATATTTCTGTGATTCAGTCTAATTACCATTCGTAAACATAGAGGTATTTAAAACCATTGAAAAGTATGTGGTAGGTGCAATGCAATCCCAGATGGAGCCCAGCAGGGCGATTTGGAGTTGCGGACTCCGGAAAACCCAGTTTATCGGGGCTCCGGCTGGAAGCAGGAGTAGGAACCGGATGGTTTTCAGTCAGTCAGAATCAGTAAGATACTTTTTCTCGTCTCATCCAAGGCAAGTCATTGGATGATTTTCCATACCATAGCATAGGATTACAATAAAAAAGATAAATATCTTGTTAATATATTCGTATTTAAAATTTATCTCAGAACTAATTTGATAGGTAAAATATTTTTATATGGACTTCCCAAAATGTGACATTTAAAATTCCTCATAGTCCTGTAATGAATAGGGATAGTATTATAAAATTGTTTTAAAAAACAATAAAATAATGACGATAAGAATTATAACCAGTATACAGCAATGAACAAAATCGATTATATCGGCATAAATTACCTACGTTTACAAGAGGAATTGTTCATTCCATTATTTGTTGCAGGTATGTTTGATTGGTGTAGTCATCGTGTATCCAGTGGTCTCATACAATTTTGGTAATCAAAACAACCAGTATCTTCGAAAAGACTTACAATATGACTTGGCTAACATTGCAAGAGTAGGGAACTCAGATAGTTACAGTTTAAATTTTAATCCTTTGAACGCTGCTCGACTGAGAAATTCATATAACCTATACAAAGCTCTACGAAGCAGTTTGCTTGATAGCGAAGATGATTATAACCATTCAGCAATCACCTATCGAAATAGCGACGCTGAAGATCCGAACAATCCTTCTAATATCAAATTCCCTGATGAAAATGGTGCTATTGAAGAGGTTTCACAAATTTATGACCGATCCAACCGATACAATTATATGACTGGGGATCCAACTTCTATAGATGATACAATAAAGTATCAGAACGAATGTACGGATTGTCTATATGACAGTCCACATAAGATCACACAGACAGAAAAGAGGTTTGGTTTTCCATACGGTGGATATGCGGGTGTAGGTGCTCAAGCTGGAGCTTATGGTGGTGGTGCCTATGACTACGACTGGTATGGATATTCAGGGTAGCCTAGACGCCTCCCAGTTCATTAAAAACTAAAAAACACTAAAGTAAAATTTACGGGCTTTACACGTAAATATACCGAGAAAGGCTCTACTACTGCTGCGCGACATCGCCGCGACCGCGCACGCTGCTCATGAGGAAGAATCCCTCTGTGTCTCGAAATTAATAGAGCTTTTCTCAGTATGTTTACGTGAGTAACTCCAAATTTTTTGTTAATTTAGCATGTCTCACGATAGTTATTATAAAAACATACAACACACTTCATTATTGACAAAAAAAATCTGTACCATAAAAAGTTCATAAGTATCCTATTATTTAGGAAAAAAAATATTACTTAAAAACAATTCTCATTTTTTTTTGTTTAATTCTAAACACCTTTGTATCATAATATGTATGTTTTACAGTAATTTCTTTTCTAAAATATTGGTGGTATGGTACCCAGAATTCTATGATTGTAAACTGTACATTTTTTGGGTCACACTGTCCAAGTAGAATTGAGTAGATACTATTAAAGATTGTATTTACGGGACAAAATGATCGCACAATATTTGCTAACTTAAAAACAAATAAAAGAACTTACAAATTACTTATACTAATCTATTTTCCCCTTAAAATCAGATCAAGATCCTGTAAGATTTTCCCTTAGCTGCAGCATAGCAAGCTTTCTGTTTACCGTCACAAAAAGTGAATTTGTTAATAAAGACCTTATTAACTTCTTTTAGTTACTTGTCATAGAAAAACCTTGAACTGAACGAATAATTTAAAGTGCAAATCTCAATTTAATTCAGTGGTTCTAAATGAAAGGTGGAGGAGGTCTTATGGTTGTGATAATTCTTCTGAAAAATGTTACTCCCTTAAGATTTTTCTATTTATTGCCGTTGAGAATTTCACAAAAAAATATGCAGTGTGCAGAATGGCTCTCGAGACGTCCAAAAATTCTCGCCAATGAACTCACAAAACCTTGCTTCACTATGAAACGGTTAAAATGGAAAAATAAGGATTTTTAAGTGTGGGAGACCCATGCTTCGGCACGAATGGGCCGGCTCGACCGAAGTGATACCACGGCCTCACACAAAAGTTTCGTCGTGTGAGTGAGGTTACTGGAGGCCCAATTATCCCCCTCTCTTCCCCAATCTCCTCAATCCCTGAACCCCTGACATTCCTCAAATTCCTAATCCCAAAAAGGCCGGTAACGATATTTGTAACGGCTCAGATGTTCCCGGTGTCCATGGGCGATGACAATTGCTTACCATCAGGTGATCTATCCGTTAGTTTACCGGTTTATTCTATAAAAAATACATGTGATCAAAAAAGGTTGATGGGACACTGGTCCCTTTGCCTACTCACCACAATAACCCAACTCATGAGCTCATAGTCTAACGCCTGATCACTTATGTTATCAAAAAATGGCGTAGATGTGCTTACAAAATCTTCACACATACAATCTATAGATGTTTAAGTAGAAGTGAACTGTTGGGGACCACAAATCATTATGTATTTTTTCAAATACCTAGTATAGTATTTTGGGTCAGCATTGCATAACCTATATATTACAGCAAGTTTCATTAATATCGTTACTGTTGTTTTGGATAACGTGTTTATATGTATACTAAAAATAGGGATAATGAAAGTATATATTTGACTGAGTAGATAAAATATTCCATGTAATTATTGTTGGACAGTAAAATACATCAACTAAGACGTCAGAGGATATTTAACCGAGGTTCAATTTAAAACATCGCGTACTCTACTATCGTAACATGCAGGATAAGTTGCTCTGAAAATTTTCAACAGCTACAGTTGTGTTTATACCTATAATGGACAC